CAGTGGCATGTGGATCTTCAGGGTGAAGCGGCCGCCGGGCTCTCCACCTGTCTTCAAGGCGCGGTACGTTGCTCGTGGCTTCAGTCAGCGGCAGGGAGTTGACTACTTTCAGACCTTCTCTCCCACCCCGAAGATGACTACTCTTCGGGTGCTGCTGCACATAGCCGCTCAGCGCGACTACGAGCTTCACTCTCTTGACTTCAGCACTGCGTTCCTGCAGGGTAGCCTGCACGAGGAGATCTGGCTGCGCCGTCCGCCTGGCTTCACTGGGACTTTCCCTCCTGGCACCCAGTGGAGCCTCCGACGGCCAGTCTACGGTCTCCGCCAGGCACCGCGTGAGTGGCACGACACACTGAGGACTACACTTGCGGCTCTTGGGTTTGCTCCCTCTACTGCTGACCCGTCGCTGTTTTTGCGCACCGACACTTCCCTGCTGCCGTTCTACATCCTCGTGTACGTCGACGACTTGGTCTTTGCCACAGCGGACACTGCTGGACTCGCCTACGTGAAGTCCGAGCTGCTGAAGAGACACACGTGCACCGACCTGGGTGAACTGCGCAGCTACCTTGGCTTGCAGATCACTCGGGACAGAGCACGCCGCACCATTACCTTGACTCAGTCACACATGGTGCAGCAGGTCCTTCAGCGCTTCGGCTACACGTACTCCTCGCCTCAGGCCACTCCTCTGCCTACTCGCCACTCACTCTCAGCTCTGCCTTCGGATGAGTCCGTAGAGTCGAGTGGTCCGTATGCAGAGCTTGTTTGCTGCCTCATGTACCTGATGACCTGCACACGACCTGACCTTGCATACCCTCTGAGCATTCTTGCACGCTATGTTGCTCCTGGGAGACACCGACCAGAGCACATGGCTGCAGCGAAGAGGGTATTGCGCTACCTGTGCAGTACGTCGGGCATGGGGCTAGTGCTTGGAGGGCGGAGTCCAGTGGTCCTTACAGGCCACGCGGACGCTTCTTGGGCTGACGACCAGGCTACGCAGCGGTCGTCACAGGGTTACACCTTCAGCCTTGGTTCCGGCTCTGTCTCGTGGCGGTCTACTCGCTCGTCTTCGGTTCTCGGCTCCAGTTGTGAGGCTGAGATCTACGCCGGGGCCATGGCTGCACAGGAGCTTCGCTGGCTCACCTACCTGCTGACTGACCTTGGAGAGCCGCCTCGTTCTCCTCCAGTGCTGTACGTAGACAACAAGGCCATGCTGGCCTTGTGTCGAGAGCAGCGCTTGGAGCACAGAACGAAGCACATTGCTCTCCGCTACTTCCTTGCTCGTGAGTTGCAGCAGCGTGGTCAGTTGCGACTTGCGTACGTGGCCTCTGAGGCCAACACTGCTGATGTGTTCACCAAGGCACTCGCGCCTTGTGACCATCAGCGTTTTTGCACCCAGCTGGGTCTTGTGCCTGTCTTGCCTCACTTGCTCTCCTCTTGACTTTACTTGTACTGTGACATATATATATACCTGCTCTTGCTTGTCTAGCTTTATATATATGTGTCTGTACTCTTGCATGTGAACTGGCCTCTGGCCCTGCTCTTGTGCTCGGACTGTGTGGTGACTTTGTGATCCACCCTGAGCTTGCTTTGCTTTGCTTGACTGGTCTTGTGACCCCTTGTTCTCCCCCACTTTGCCTATGGGGGTGTGTCAGATTACTATAGCTGATGCATGTTTGTAGGCTATAGTGGGGTAGCACATATGGGGTACAGCTTTCTAGGGTTGTATTTGTACCCAACTCTGACTTAGTCAATCCATTCCTGTTCTCTTACTTTCACACGGAGTGCCCTTAACACAGCCCACAGGCGTTACACTCACAACGCAAAGCGCTGGAGGCTGCCGCGAGGTGTCGGAGACGTCTTCACGGGCACGGACGATCCTCCTGGTACCCTGACATGGAGACGCAGGTGTATACACGGCTCCTGGCGGCACGCGCGAAGGGCGTGGCTGTGTCTGTGGGGAGGCTTCAGCAGTGGTCCCACGAATCCATGAAGGAGCTGCATCCCGATGTGACGTGGAAGGGGTCAAACCGGTGGACGAAGCGCTGTCGTCGGCGGTGGAACCTTTCGGTTAAACCTAAAACGAAAGTCGGGCAGAAACTTTCTGATCGTCAGTACCCTCCGTTGAATGTCTTCGCCTGCTGATTCCGATTACCGTAACACAAATTCACCAACTCTGCTTAAAGCCCGCGGCCCAAATTGCAAGCCGCGCGGTTCAAGTTTTTAAAACTTGCTCCCCTGACTTTCGGGTTACCAGGTTTCTGGGAGATAGAGGTCCGCGCGACACAACTCAGGCCGTGAGCCAATGAGAGTTGACTACCCCTATGTTGAGAACCAATGAGATTGAACACAATTGTCTTCAGTCGCAAACTAGGGCTCGGCAGAACCAACACACACCCAAAAACTTGAAAACGAGGGTGTGCAATTTGGGACTCTTGAGACACAAACAAGAACCCGCCGCACTAACAAAAAAGCCCACGCACGACTCGAACGCACAGTAGGAACGGTCATGGCACGCCTGCTCTCAATCGTAGTAATGCTATATACTGGGAACTATGGCAAGCTAGCAGCGGAAAATAGGGGCATTGATGGTGCTGGTGCTATTGCCTGTTTCTGGCACCTCCGAGCAGAGTGCACATCTAGACGATGCGACGGCGATGGTCGCGTTCGTCGTATGACCGAAGGTCGTTTAGATAGTAGTCCCAACCATGCCGGCACTCCGTCGACTTGCCATGTCGACGAAGCTGCTCGCAGGGTTGGTACATCGCGCTGCGTCACTTCGCGCAGCGTTTCGACGCCTTGCGCCTCAACGCGCTGCGTCTCATGGCGTAGACAGAGATCGCGTGGGGTTTCATCGCGCATCCTCGTCGCTCTCTACGCCTCGGACCGGAAAAAAGCCCTGTCGTCATTCGAATCGCGTGAGCGACCTCATGGAAATCCGCACAGCCCTTTGGTTTACGGTCCGTATTTGAAATGATCACTGGGCAAACAAGTACCCAATGCAAAGTATGCGATGTTCCCTGAACATCCCCCTCCCATCGCCTCCACTTCCCCCTCCCGTCGCCTCATCTTCCCCCTCACGTCACCTCAACTTCCCCCTCCCGTCGCCTCCACTTCCCCCTCCCGTCGCCTCCACTTCCCCCTCCCGTCGCCTCCACTCCCCCCTCCCGTCGCCTCCACTCCCCCCTCCCGTCGCCTCCACTTCCCCCTCCCGTCGCCTCCACTTCCCCCTCCGGTCGCCTCCACTTCCCCCTCCCTTCGCCTCCACTTCCCCCTCCCGTCGCCTCCACTTCCCCCTCCCGTCGCCTCCACTTCCCCCTCCCGTCGCATCCACTTCCCCATCCCATCGCAAGCACTCCCCCCTCCCGCCCCCTCCACTTCCCCTTCCCGTCGCCTTCGCTTCCTGCTCACTCTCTCCCCACTGTCCCCATTTCCCCTCCCCACCCTTCCCCGCCGCCCGTCCGTGGGCAGCAAAGTGGCGTCCCTTTTGCGCCATCGTGATCAAAGCTCCTCCGTTGCCACCCTATTCTTCCCCTCGCACCTCCCCTCTCCTCACCTCATTTCCCTCCTCTCCCCTTCCCTCTTCGTTCCGCCGCATACTCTCATAGCCTTGCGTCCCCTACGTCCCATAGGCTCTCTGTATCCTTCTCTCCTTTTCGCCCCTCCGTGTGGGCTCCCCCTCTCCAACATTCACTGCTGTCCCGCTCCCGTGCCACGGGGATTGCCATCAAGGTCGAGTCCGGGCCTGGCTCCTCGTGTGAGGGGTGTAGCAAACTTTCTCTCCTTCCATCACCCCTTTCCATCCTTCCCCCCCACTCTCCCCCTCTCGCCCCTCCTCCCCACCCAGGCGAGTGGCGATCTGGCGGCACTTGCGCGTGTTTTACGCACATGTGGCAATGAGTGCGCAGCTCATATCGGCGCCCTCAGGCCAGGCCAGGCCCCAGCGTAAAAAACTAAAAACTGTCAGACTCCAACCTCTCTCCCCTCCCCCTCCTTAATCCCCTCCTCCTCTGCCTCTCCCCTACTCCCCATAACCTCCTGCTCGCCTCTCTCGCCGTGAGGTCTAAGGAACCTCGTATTCCCACATCGGCTCGTGTCTCCCCCACATCTCCCCCCTCTCTCCTCCTCCTCCTCCCCCCACCCACTGCCGGCCCGCCTGCCAACCTCATCCACATTTCTTTCCCCCATCCGCTATCATCAACGCCCTATTAGGACAAGCCGTAGAGGGAGGGCCTCCTCACGCGCCCTCGAAACCCATCTCTCCCCATCTCCCCCCACCTCAACCCCCCCCTTTCCCACACTTTCCCCGTCCCCACCCTCCCTACTCTCCCCACCTCTGTCCCCCTTCCTACCCCAGGCGAGGCCCCCTCTCCCTCTACCCCACACTCTTGCTTCCTCACCCGGGCTCCCCCTCACTCTTTGCACGCTGCTCTCTTCTTCCCACCCAATTTCTTCCAATCGTTCTCTCAGAAAATCATTTCCGTTTTTCCTGCCCCTCCTCTCTATTCCTCCCCCTCCCCTCTCAGGCAATTAATGCAATCACAGACAAGCACGTGCCACATGTCCCAAAGCCCTTCCATCCGGCCCTTTCTTCCTCTCCTCTCCTCTCCCTTTCGGCCACCCCCCTCCCTTCTCTGCCTGCCATCAGGTCATTGCAAGCACCGACAAGAACAAGCCACCAAGTCCCTGTTCCAAGGCCCCTCGCTTCTCCTGACCCTGCTGCCGAGCCTGTTCCCAGACCTGCCTCCGAACCTGAAGCTCATGGCAAGAGGGAGGGAATGACAGCGGGTGGTATGGAAGCAGGGAGGGAGGGGAGGAGGGAAGGATAACACAAGGGAGTGAGAGTGAGGGAGGGGAGGGGAGGGGTAAGGAGAAGGGTGGGAGAAGGAGGAAGAGTTGGAGGAGGAGGACAAGGAGTGGGATGATGAAGTGGAGTTCTAGGAGGCACAGGTGAGAGCTGCACCACACTGCTGCTGGGCTGGGACACATACCCACCCTCTTTTATGAAGCTTCCTGACTATCTAACAGGGGGACTACTTACCCTGGCCACCCTGTTGTGCCTGTGTTGTTCCTCAGATGGTCTTACTCCTACTTCCCCCCTTCTTACCCCCTCGTCCTCTCCTCTCTCCTGCATTGGTGCATGTGTCCTGTTTTGTCTGCGGGTGCTGTGGGCAGCAGAGGAGGAACTATACGGGGAGAAGATACTTTCAGTTGACAGCCTGACCTCAGGTGGTCTCCACCTGTCAGGTGAAATGACAGTGTGAGATTCTATGGTGCCACCCATACACCAACCCCCGCTCCCCTCTCCTCACCGTTTGCCCTTCGGCTGTGTCCCGCTGCTCAACCCCATTTGCTCAGACTTCTATTCTATGCTCTCATCTCACCTTTCCATTCTCCCCTCCCTCCGTTCTTTAACTCTATCCCTTTCCACCTCCTCCCCCTTCTCTGTTTGTTGTGCGCTGACTTCTTCTGCCACACCTGGTTCCATGAGGTGCGGTTGGTGGGAGGCATAGAGATCTTGGGATGCGTCTCAAGAGTTGGCTTGAGTCTGCACCGGGTGTGTTCTGTGTGTTGTGCGCCAAGTTATTTTGTCACTGCTGCTTTCACGAGGTCAAGTTAGAGGATGAGAGTGGTTCTATTGAAAGGGGGGCGGTGAGAAACCCAACGAAGCGCTTGCACCTACAAGCTAAGGTTTATGTGAATGCGTGCATCACGACTTTCACGGGCTCGCCCATGCATGTCTCTCATGCCCCCATGCCCATGCCTCATTCTCCATGCCCCAAACCTGCATGCCAGTTCCACATGATGCCGTCCACCCCATTTCCTTCCTTCCGCCGCCTCTGCTGCTGATGCACAGAATGGCTACTCCACTCCACTCGTACAACTGCCTATTTGCCCATCGTACACTTATACCTCTCTCCCTGCCTCACCACCAGAATCTCTTGCATTTTGACTGCAGTCAGTGTTGAGCTGAATTCATGCCTCCTTCTCCCCACAGTGGCCCATCTCACTCCTCCAGTCATAAGCGATCTCGCTGGTTCCCCACTCTTTCTAATTCCCCCACTACTCTGCCCTGTTATTATTTTCCCCTTCTTCCCTGTGATTGGGTTCCCCATATGCCTACTTATAACATTTTGTCATCTTCCCTGTCCTTCCTGCCCATGTCTGCATTGCAGAGGCTCCAGCATTCACGTATCCAATAGTAGCGAATTTCGTTAGAATCACGTGGACCTGCTACACCCTGAACACCCTACATAATTAGTCATGCCAAGCAGTAGATCCCATGCTACTACAACAGGCTACAGAACTACTCTTTTGCATGAGACTTGTGTTGAGGCAAGAGTATTGCATGATGAGTACCAACTGCGCTCGAGTGCGACACGATATTATAGCCCACTCAATCAAGATACGGGTGCCTCTTTTGAAATGGGTAAAAAGAGCAGCAGCGTGCACATAGCTGTGCCTTGCCTCACAACCGTCCATGTCCTGCGGGATGCTGTTAGAGTTATATGACGAGTTATCGAAATGTTCAGTACGCAGGGCAACCGAAAACCGCGGCACATGATGCCGGATTGATTGAGATAGACTTCTACATATCCCCACGCCTATATCACTTGGATGGGCCTCTTCTTCACATGGGCGATACTGGGAAGCCTCACGCTCAATGGGAGGTCAGGGTTGAAACGAGATTCTGGCAACAGCACGGATGAAAGGAGTCATGCATGGGAAGGGGGGAGTGAGTGGGCAAAAGAAGGACAAATCTGCGGGTGTTGAATGAGGGGTGTTGTACATATAATGGTTACAGCACCCGGTTGCTGAAATGTGTACAAGGCAATAACACCACACACAAGCCCTCCCACAAAAAAGTGTGCTTACCACCAGCCATGGTCCTTCTTACCACTAAGCTCCAAGCCCACATACAGGTGTGGCAATGTTTGCTCACCAGCCACGGTCGGAGAACCCTCCTACGATTGATGAGACTTGCGTTTACGCCCGCACCGCCATTTCGTGCCGCTTGCATCAGCGCAGATTGGTTGGCAATTCCCCTGCGGGAGTGGTGTGGGGAAAGGACAGATGGAGCATTAGCGTTTCATATGTCCAGCTGATCAACTGGCCCAGCAAGTGGCAGATGGCATGTGGGATTACAGCAACAAGGAGGGCTTGTTGCAAGGCAGTGATACACATAAGCTGTGCCACTACTTGACGTGGCACAGGAATTAGCAAATGCGTTTTGGAAGCACGACAACGAACCCAGCAAGCAGCGACGGGCTGGTGTAGGTCGCTTCTTGTGTTTGGGTGCACCAGACCGAGTCGTGCTCCCCTGGCATCCAGGCGAAAATACAAGGTCAGTGGTCATGATTGGGATGCTGCCTTCAGGCTCAACTGAAACGGTGCTGGAGGGTCCGGTCAAGGTGCGTTGGCGCTGCGCACGGGTGTGCTCACTTCGTTCCTCATCGTCAACACCATCTACACCCTCTCCCTCTCCGTTCCTCTCAGACTCCCCAACATCCGCTGCACCTTGTGCCAACCATTCCGGCATAATGTTGTCCACCCATGACCAGTCCATAGGTCCTAATATCCTTTCCTTTCGGCCCCTCTGCACACGCGTCAATTTCCGCACCCGGATGCGGTATGCCTTGACGAGCCGGTCCATGCAGCTGTTCCAATGCAGCACGGCCAAGGCTATGCGAGCCTCCATGTTGCCCCTGAACCGCAGGCGCTTGGGTGCATACTTGCAAACAAGTGAGTGGAAGGACTCGTTCAGTGAGCTGTTTGCGCCAAGAGTCAATGATGCTACCTGAGTTGGCCTTAGCCGTGTTCTGAACCACTTACGAACAGCCAAGTGGGTTGGTGATCCAAAAGCGTATACAGCACTCTCTTCCCCCCACCCTTCTGAAATACAGCGTGGATGCATTGTTCCCACACGTGCGCAGCGTGTATGGTCACCTGCCCAATGATCTGCAGCAAGCCCCAACTCCTCAGACACCTACTCTGGCGTCATTGGATCTCCCTCGCTGGCTTTGGTGGCATTCCGCATCATGCAGTGCTTGAAATGCACGCTGAAGCGTTGACCAAGAGTGAACACCGGCTTTTTGCTTCCATCGCTCTCTCCAGCAAGGGTAGCATTGTCACCTTCCCCACGTGCCCGCTTCTTTGAGGTACGTTTTGACCACCGTCGCTGCTCCTTGCTCTTGATGGTGGAAATGGCAGCTTGCTCTCCTGCAAGTCCCTAATGAATAGGGCTGGTGTGGTGGAAATGAGGTGTGTGTGGCTGGGATGGTGGTAGTGAGGGGTGTGTGGAGCAGAGGGGTGGTGAAGACGAGCTGTGTGAGGGACTGGAGTAGTGATAAAGAGTTTTGAATGGGGGTGGAGTGCTGGAAATGAGGTGTGTACTGGAGTGGTGAAGATGAGCAATGTGTGGGGCAGAAATGGTGGTAATGAGCTATGTGAGGGGCTCAGGAGGTGGGCAGTAGTGATGGTAATGAAATGTGTATGGGGCAGTTGTGGTGAAGATGAGCTGTGTGAGGGGCTGGAGTGGTGGTTATGAGCTGTGTGGGGGGCTGGAGTGGTGATATTGAGCTCTGTGGGGGCCTGACATTGTGGTAGTGAGCTGTGTGAGTGGCGGAAATGGTGTGACTGAAATGTGCGAGCAATTTGAGTGGGTGCAGGAGTGCTAAGCTCACCTCTTTGAGCAGGAGATCCGGGTAAGATATCTGCTACATGCTCCGTGAAATCCGCTTCGGCGCGTGCACCATGTCACGCAAGTGTGACCACCAATGATGCCTGAGACGATGGTCGCAATCCATGCACTGGGTGGATGTCATATTGCCATAATTCTTCCACATCCAGCCAAGAGACATCCACCCTCACCGGTCCTTCTATCATTTCCACTGCATCCCCACCCTCTTCCAGCCCATCCTGATGACGGCCCATGCCTCGACTATATATTAGTGAAAGCATAACAGGTACATCCACTTTGTCTGCTGCCTCCTCATCATCCCGCTCCTCTAATTCCCCCACACCTTGACCAGCCCCTTGCGCGTTTGTTGCGCTCACAACCTGCTGCAAGTCAGGATGTTCCCATTTTGCATTTGCCGGATCCACAAACCGGTACTCGATGCCGAGCTCAAAGCAAATGTCCTCGATCAACTTGTCTTTTCCATTGGACCCAACCACCTTGCCTGGGGCCTTCTTCTGCAACCACCCTTTTAGCTTCACGACCGTATGCATATGCAGGTCCTCGACAACCTTCGCCTTATCAATTTCGACCACATCCCTCACACGATTTTGCAATTCGTTTTCAAAGCTCTTGACCACAGATCGCCTTTTGTGCCACCAATCGTGCTGGTGTCCAATCCCTCTGTCCGCAGCCACAGTCCGAAACGTACTACCCTCATCCGTAACAATTCCAGCCACTTCAAACCCCATATTCCTGAAGAAGTCCATGCCCATATTGAAGGCAACGCTTTCTAGCCTAGGAGACGATGGATCATTAACATACTTCTTCGTAGTCTCTGTGTGCAATATTTTCCTACTCTCGGGATGTAGAAATGACACAGTGCAATACTCAGCCTCACGAGCTTGTGAGTATCTACCATCTACGCTTATGTATCCCACGCCACCTTCCCTTATAGACATGCTATCACGCACTGATGCCATAGATTCTTGGGCTGCACGAATGATGGCCTTCCACAAACCCTTTTCACCCTGCAACAGCCGGTAAAATGTTCCTCTTCCAGGATTCGGCAGTCCAAGATTGCGACACACTTCCCACATCACTTGAAACCCTACCCCTCCGAGGGCAAACGCACCCACAAACTTTTGCATAAGTTGTAAAGACTTTGGCCCCGTCCGCTTCCCATTCTGATCGTTTTCTTTTTTCGGGCTTGTCCATATCTCCGTGCGGCTAGGGCAGGTATTACAGTGCCAATAAAGACCAAGAGACACCCATGTAGTTTTCCATGACACAATGGACATGCTCCCGCCGCAGCCTTTTCTTGTGCAACTGATACGCAGTGGTGCTAATGCTTCTAGCATGTGTCTTGGCTCCAAGAAACATACAATGTACGGTGACATGTCTGTGATGGTTGGAGCACGTGGCCACCCTCTCGGGACTAGAACTAGAGTATCCTTGAGGGGCCCATCCTGATGAGTATTCCTGGAGGGCCCATAGGCAGGGCGCAATGGGAGGGCACACTCCAGGTCGCAATGGGAGGGCACAAAGCATGGCGCAATGGGAGGGCACAAGGCAGGGCGCAATAGGAGGGCACAAGGCAGGACGCAATGGGAGGGCACAATCCAGGTCGCAATGGGAGGGCACAAGGCATGGCGCAATGGGAGGGCACAAGGCAGGGCACAATGGGAGGGCACAAGGCAGGGCGCAATGGGAGAGCACAAGGCAGGGCGCAATGGCACGTGGCACAAGGCAGGGCGTAATGGGAGGGCACAAGGTAGGGCGCAATGGGAGGGCACAAGGGAGGGCGCAATGGGAGGGCACAAGGCGGGGCATATGGGGAGGAGGTGGAAAGGCGGAAGGGAGAGGAAGAGTAGGCAGGTGGAGTTGTTACAATGGGCCAGAATTGATTGCTGTGACACTGTGAAGTGACATGCTGGGCGTGTCAAGTGACATGCTGGGCGTGTGAAGTGACATGCTGGGCGTGTGAAGTGACATGCTGGGCGTGGGAAGTGACATGCTGGGCGTGTGAAGTGACATGCTGGGCGTGTGAAGTGACATGCTGGGCGTGTGAAGTGACATGTTGAGCGTGTGAAGTGACATGCTGGGCGTGTGAAGTGACATGCTCGGCGTGTGAAGTGACATGCTGGGCGTGTGAAGTGACATGCTGGGCGTGGGAAGTGACATGCTGGGCGTGTGAAGTGACATGCTGGGCGTGTGAAGTGACATGCTGGGCGTGGGAAGTGACATGCTTGGCGTGTGAAGTGACATGCTGGGCGTGTGAAGTGACATGCTGGGCGTGTGAAGTGACATGCTGAGCGTGTGAAGTGACATGCTGGGCGTGTGAAGTGACATGCTGGGCGTGTGAAGTGACATGCTGGGCGTGTGAAGTGACATGCTGGGCGTGTGAAGTGACATGTTGGGCGTGTGAAGTGACATGCTGGGCGTGTGAAGTGACATGCTGGGCGTATGAAGTGACATGCTGGGCGTATGAAGTGACATGTCGGGCGTGTGACATACTCGCTAGGGTGGTGATGACTGCATGGTGCCAAAGGTGTGTGTGAGTGCATGGTGCCAAAGGTGCGTGTGACTGCATGGTGCGCCAAAGGTGCGTGCGCATGTGACTGCATGGTGCCATAGGTGCGTGCATGTGTCTGTATTCTTATGAGCTCATGCACACGTGCGGGCATGTGTAGGTGTGTGAGGGCTCGTGCGTGCTCGAATGTCTTCACTTTCCACCTATTCATTCAATACCACCCCTAGTTTTACACCTCATTCAACCAACCCCATCTACGCACTGTCTCACCTTTGGGCTTGATCTGGTACACTAGCTGCATGGAGTACCGCGTGCTCTTGGCTGCTTTCAGTGCTAACAATCGTGCAAGGATGAGGCTGCAGGTTTGGAGCAACCTCCTCTGTTTCAGCTCCTGTTGATTGGGCAACCTCTGCACACACGCCATGTATCAGAATAATTAGGGTATACACGGACTTGCATTCAGACTCTAGTTCAGTTTCGCTTCATAAATAGTACAGCCTTCACAAACCCTCCGTCTGAAGCATGCTGCATGGTTGTATGACCAACATAGCATACTCTTGTGCCAACGCCACGCTGTTGCTCACCTTGTCTCCGCACGCTCTCGAAGGCTTTACCCCTTCGGGCCCCACCCCAACCGTTTCCACGAACAGGGCGTATTTTCCCCTTCTTATCCTCTTTGTAGGGCGGGAAGTTGTAAACCAGACCCTCGATTGGGCGATCTGCCTTCTCCACTATCCCAGTTACGGCGTTAATACCACTGTTTGCCCGTGCATCGAACTGGCGCCCGTATGCCTCAAGGTGCAGCTCTACCGTCGCCAATGCATCTCCCCCATGTGTTCCTGTCACGGAACAACGGTGACACCAAGTATATCCCATCCATTATTGTGTGGCTGCTTGTGCCATTGTGATGCGCTAAACGTTCAGATTGCTCAACTATCATGGACACACGACCATGCTAGGACTTGATCACCAACTTTCCACCCTTACCTGCTTCTTTGGCAGCCCGCATCAGCCGTTTGTACGCTGTAGGGGCGTTCATCATGAAGTAGTAAATAACATCAGCAGTTGTCACCTCGGTCTTCCCCCCCATCAATGCCAACAACCCGCATCGTTGAAGGCATATGACTGGCCTCAAATGCTTGGATATGCCGTGAACCGCCTTGTCATGCTCGTCGCTAAGATTTGCTACAGTGGACCCTCCACTTGCTCTTGCATCCGTCTGCCTCCCACGCCTGAAGGTTGGGTTTGGAAATGGTGTGTAGATTTGCACGGTTTGGAATCGATGGCTGGATATGCGTTACAAGGGAGACCCCAAGAGCCAAAGACAATGACGGACAACTTGTATTTCCTGCGCGACAACGCTGGGCGTGCGCGCAGATTCAGCAGCATTTGAATGAGGAAAAATGGACGAGATTGACGGTGGACACCAAAACAGATGATGAGCCCCGACGGGGAATAATAAGTGGGGGAAAGGAACCCAGTGTGGTGCCTCTCCCACCTTCCCCTCTGGAGGTTCACATCCCCTCCTTTTCGTACAACCCATCCTGCAGCATCTTCCCCCCGCATCACCCATGTGAGGTGATGCGAGCGCATTTCAACCGCCATAATCATGGTGCTGGTGAGTGGCTGGTGTACATGGTGCTGGTGAGTGGGTGGTGCTGATGGTGCTGGTGAGTGGGTGGTGTTGATGGTGCTGGTGAGTGGGTGGTGTTGATGGTGTGGTGAATGGGTGGTGTTGATGGTGGTGGTGAGAACAAGGCGCTGTATGGGAGGGCGCACCTAGGATGAAATGGGTCGCTGCAAGATAGGAGGGCATGCACGGTCGGAAAGGTGGTGTGGCCCTAGTGGTGTGGGAAAAGCGGACCAGGGGAAGTGGGGGATTGGATGGGGGGAAGTGGGGGATTGGACGGGGGGACGTGGGGGATTGGACGGGGGGGAGTGGGGCATTGGATGGGGGGAAGTGGGGGATTGGATCGGGGGAAGTGGGGGATTGGATGGGCGGGTGTGGTGGAAAGGAAAGGGTAGTGCGGGGAAGGACGAGGTGGAGGGGGGGAAAGGGAGGGTAGGACTAGGGGACAGGGAGGGTGTTTGTAGGGGAAATAGAGATCGCAGGGTGTAGAAGGGGGTGAGCAAGTGTGGAAGAGAGTGAGTCGTGTGTTGAAGGGGGTGAGCAAAGGGGGAAAGAGAATGACCAGGGTGGTGAAGGGGGTGAGGAAAGGGGGAAAGAGAGTGCGCAGGGTGTAGAAAGGGGTGAGCAGGGTGTAGAAAGGGGTGAGCAGTGGGGAAAAGAGAGTGAGCAGGGTGGAGAAGGGGGTGAGAAAAGGGGGAAAGTGAGTGAGCAGGGTGGAGAAGGGGGTGAGATTAGGGGGAAAGAGAGTGAGCAGGGTGGAGAAGGGGGTGAGCTAAGGGGGAAAGAGAGTGAGCAGGGCGGAGAAGGGGGTGAGCTAAGGGGGAACGCAAGTAAGCAAGGGTTAAGGAGAGGGAAATATACCACACAGGGAGCAAGGGAGTGAGCAGAAGGGAAGAGTGTGTTCAAGGGGCAAGAGAGTGAGCAGGGGAATTAAGGGGCGAACAAAGGGGGAAATGGACCACACAGGGGGAAAGAGGGAACTTGTGGTGACGGGGGGGGGGGGGGGAAGTGGAGGCGACGGGAGGGGGAAGTTGAGGTGACGGGAGGGGGAGGTTGAGGTGACGAGAGGGGGAACTGGAGGCGACAGGAGGGGGAAGTGGAGGCGACTGTAGGGGGATGTGGAAGCGACGGGAGGGGGAAGTGGAGGCGACGTGAGGGGGAAGTGGAGGCGACGGGAGGGGGAAGTGATGGCGACAGTAGGGGGAAGTGATGGCGAAGGTGGGTGCCTTGAAGATGGTCAAGTGGCGTCGCTATTTATTGAGCGAAAGTGAGGTTTCCCACGTAGTGCCATACAACGTTATCCGATGCTTTCAGAATGCGCCAACGTTCGTGCCGCGTCTATGGTTTTTTCGTACCTTCGGGAAGCATCCTTTCCAGGGCGACGGACCATATTCCCTATCTCGCAGTCTCGAATGAAGTGGTTCTGTTTGTTGATGACGGTCGTGCCGCCTACTATAGTTGGCTGCTGTATGCAGTATCAAGTACTAGCGGGCCTCATGGTTGGTTGTCGAAAGCCTAGGTCATGGTGTTGTGTGTGTGGCAGCGCAAGAGCTGCGGAAGTGTTGTGTTGTGTGTTTTTTGGTCGCGGTGTGTGGTGCGCCGTGCGACAATTTCTATTGGCTGGTTTTCTAGTGTTTGACTCGGCTGTTCGCTAAACAATTCGCGATTTCGCTTACTGGGTGTGCCTTCTTTCGGCTACCAACTTTCACTTTCACACCCCTCGCTACACGTTGTTCCCCTGGGCCAAGTTTTAAAAACTTGTGCAATTTGGGCCAACAGCTTTAACGTTGTTCGGTGTTGTGTGCTTCTGCAGGTTCAGATTCGAAATTTCTGGAAGTTCGTCCGTCACACCCGTCGAAACTACGACATCGAACCGCGCTACATAATCAACGCGGATCAGACACCCTTGTGGCTTGAGATGCCTGCTGAAACAACACTCGAAGAGGTCGGTGCGCGGTCCGGTTCGGAGCACCGGATACCAAAAGGAGAGAGTGACGGCTATGTTAGCGTGCACGGCTTAAGAGAAATTGAAGCCGTGGGTTTTCTTTAAGAGAGAGCACCCACCGCGGGGCAACTTCCCACCTGGTATGTTGTAGCGAGTCTAAATATTAATATGCACCCTGCCTTGTGCTTAGCTGCCCTTTTTCTTGTCAGCACTGTCCCTCGGCAGATGTTGTAGTCGCCGCGCAACCGAAGGGATGGATGGACGCTGACGGCGTTGTCAAATGGCTCGACGAGGCGGTGCGTCCATACACCAGGCCGGCCTTCGGTCGACGGGCACGTAGGACGCTTCTGTCAAACTCACATGCTATAGTCTATGTATGCTGTAGTGGGGGAGACAATATGGGGTACAACATTTTTAGGTTTTCCTACTTGTACCCACCTGCTTGCTATTTCATTCATTCCTCAATTCTCACATGGTATAGAGCAGGTTCCCTAGTGGAAACTTCCTAGGGCCCACCACTGAAAATCGATTTTTTTTCTGCCCTGAGATCGAGTCGCCCCTGACCGAGGCGCGCCCTCTGTGCCGCCCTCCCCTTAGCGACCCGTCGCGCCGCCCTCAGCGCCCCCCCCCCCTCTCTCATGCCCCCTCGCGACCCCGTCGCCGCCCTCAGCGGCCCCTTGCGGCCCCACCTCCACGGCCCTGTCGCCGCCCTCTCGCAGCCCCGTCGCCTCCCTCTCACGGCCCCATCGCCGCCATTCGCGGCCCCGCCGCCGCCCTTAGCATCCGCGTCGCCGCCCGTCGTGGCCCTGCAGCCGCTCCTCGCGGCCTCATCGCCGCCCTCTCGCGACCGCGTCGCAGCCCTCTCACAGCCGCATCACTTCCCTCTAATGCCCCCAATGCCGCCCTCTTGCGGCCTCGTCGCCGCCCTCTCGCGGCCCCGTCGCCGCCCTCTTGCGGACCTGTTGCCGCCCTCTCATGGCCCCGTCGCCGCCCTCTTGCGGCCTCGTCGCAGCCCTCTTGCGGCCTCGTCGCCGCCCTCTCGCGGCCCCGTCGCTGCCCTCTCGCGGCCCCGTCGCCGCCCTCTTGCGGCCCCGTCGCCGCCCTCTTACGGCCCCGTTGACGTCCCGGCCCCTTCACCGCCGAGCCTCCGAGCAGCCGAGCCGCCGAGTCGCCTGCAGCCGAGCCGCCGAGCAGCCGAGCCGCCGAGCAGCCGAGCCGCCGAGGCCGCCGTCGAGCCGCCACTGCCTCTGTCGAGCCGCTGCCACCGCTGTTGCATCCCTATTTCTACCGGCAGGCCCCATCCCTACCCACCCGGACTGGTGAGAGCACTCCCTGCTAGACCACTGCTGTCATGGCTACCCCCAGTGTCCTTACCTTTGATGGTGAGGGTCGTGCTGTTGACTTCTGGGTCTGGGTCGATAACCTGCAGCTTTTCCTACAGTGCGATAGGGCAGACGGACTCTCCCTGTTCGATCTCACCTCTGGTGCCTCTCCTGCCCCGCCTGCTGATGCTGACAGCACTGTTCGCTCACAGTGGGCCACGCGCGATGCTGCTGCCCGTCTTGCTGTGCGTCGCCACTTACCGAGCGCTCAGCGAGCGCACTTTAGTCAGTACAAGAGTGCTAAGACCTTGTACGACGCTGTAGTTGCACGCTACTCTTCCCCTGCCACAGCTGCTCTTAGCCGCCTCATACTGCCGTACCTGTTTCCTCACCTCCCCACCTTTCCCACTGTCGCTGACCTCGTTACGCACCTTTGCACTAGTGACACCTGCTACCGCACTGCGCTTCCTACTAAGTTCTGCGCCAAGACCCGCCCCCCCCCCCCCCCCCCATGTACATCACCCTCTACTACATAGTCACCCGGCTCCCTGACTCCCTTCGCTTGGTCAGGGACCACTTCCTCTCTGTTCGCCCCACCACACTCACCCTTGACCTCCACAAGGAGCGCCTCCTGGCAGTTGAGAAGAGTACAGTCGCTGTAGGAGCCTCTAGAGGTGACCTACGTGCCCCTGTCTTTGAGGGGTGCTCCCCCTCCCCCCTTTTGCCCTCTGTTGCCTCTTCTGCTTCCGTCGACTTCGTTGGCACCGAGTCGGTCGGCGCTGCGTCTGCCCCTAGCGGGTGACGCCGCACCGGCAAGAACAAGGGGGGAACGGGCGCTGGAGGGGCTAGCGGGGGCAGTAGAGGTGGAGGTGGAGGAGGCGGAGGGAGTGGGGGTGGTGGTGGGAGTGGTGGCGGGGGTGGGGGCTTTAGTGGCGGCGATGGCGGCGGAGGCGGCGGCGGCGGTGGCGGTGGGAGCGGAGGAGAAGGCGATGGCGGAGGTGGCGGAGGTGGCAGCAGAGGAGGTGGAGATAGTCGGGTGGCTCTGCGCAGCGGGGCGGCTTAGGTGGTGGTCAGCGCCAGCAGCAGTAGCGTATTCGTGAGACCCGGTCCCCCTAGCAACTTCGTGAGTGGTATGCTAGGCGTCAGCGAGGTAAGGGTACTGGTCCCTGAACCTACGTCCTCCGTACCGGCGACCACGCTAGTGAGCAGTGCGGGGGCTTGCACTCCACCCAGCGCTGCTTCGGCTCATGACGGACACTTGGCGTCACCACTTCCGTGACGCCACTGAGATCCCTCGCTAGGGAGAGCTGTCTAGGGTGGGGGTTGCTATCTTTGGTCTTGATTATGATGCTATTCTTGCTGCCATGTATGCTCTGTCTACTAGTGATGAGGGTGACTGTTACTTGTGTAACGCGCCACCCCTCACTCCTCCGAGTTTCCTCCGACAGAGGTTCCGCTGCAGACTCTTCACATGGATGTGTGGGGCCCGGCCCGCGTCCGTGGCCAGGGCCACGAGCGTTACTTCGTGCTGGTGGTTGACGACTACTCGCGTTACACCACGGTGTTCCCCTTGCACAGCAAGGGTGACGTCATTGAGGTGTTGATCGACTGGATCCGCGCAGCTCGTCTCAAGCTCAGAGAGAGTTTCGGCTCAGACTTTCCTGTTCTGCGTCTGCACTCTGACAGAGGCGGGGAGTTTTCCTTTGCCCATCAGGGAGCCTTCTGTCGTGCACAGGGCATCCGCCAGACCTTCACGCTTCCGGCCTCTCCACAGCAAAATGGGATTGCTGAGCCCCGCATTGGCATGGTCATGGACGCTGCTCATACGTCCATGATCCATGAGGCTGCTCCCCATTTTCTGTGGCCGTTTGTGGTTTAGTACGCAGCGCATCAGATCAACCTTCAGCCCCGGGTCTCCTTGCCAGAGACCTCCCCGCCTTGCGATGGACGGGGAAGGTTGGCGATGCGTCTGCGTTTTGTGTCTGGGGATCTCGGGCGTTTGTCCGCGACTTGTCTGCAGACAAGCTGTCCCCCCGTGCTGTTCCCTTCGTCTTCCTTGGCTTCCCCCCTGACGCGCCTGGTTGGCAGTATTACCACCCCACCTCGCGCCGTGTTCCGTCCTCCCAGGACGTCACCTTTGACGAGTCAGTGCCTTACTACCGTCTCTTCCGCTACCGCACTGCGCCCCTCCCCCCGCCGCCGCTCTTCCTTGCGCCAGGTCCTCCCCTGGTAGACGCTCTCCCCCCTCAGGGTCCTGCCCCGCCAGGTGTTTCCCAGGTAGACGCAGTCGAGCGTGTCGAGGTACTGTAGCTGTTGACTCTGGTGCTGCTAGGGGTACTGAGCCTGGGGGTGCTGAGCATGGGGGTGCTGAGCTTGAAGGTGCTGACTCTGGGGGTTCTGAGCCTAGGGGTGCGGAGCCTGGGGGTGCTGAGCCAGGGGGTACAGAGCCTGGGGGTGCGGAGCCTGGGGGTGCTGGGTCTGCTCGTGTGGCCCGTGGCGGTGCTTTGTCGAGGCGGGAGCTACTCTCTCCGCAGGAGCTGCGCGAGTGGTTTGCGCGGCGCTGGAGCTGTGCTGATGGAGCTGGAGGTGCTACTATTGCTGCTGGTCCTAGAGGTGCTCGTACTGGCGGTACTGGAGCTGCTGGGACTGGGGTTACTGCTGGGGCTGCTGGAGTTGGTACTGCTGGAGCTGCTGGCGGTACTGGAGCTGACGGTCCTGCGGGAGCTGGAGCTGCTGGAGCTACAGCTGCTCGGGGTGTTGGCGCTGGTGGTTCTGCTGGCGCTGGTGCGTCTGAGGGTGCTGGAGTTGTCGCTGTTGGAGCTGGAGGTGCTACTGGCGCTGGTGCTGCCGCTGGGGGTACTGGAGCTGTCTCTGCTGTTTCAGGAGCGGCTGAGCGGTCGCGGCCGTACTTTGCTCCGCTCCTTGAGCAGGTTCTTGGTCTCCCGCCCTCTACTGGTCCCTCTCCTCCCTTAGAGTGTCCACAGCTTGTCCAGTCGCGGTCACAGTTACAGCTCGCCTCCTCCTTGCTTGCTCCTTCTCCCTACATTGGTCCTACTAGAGGTCTTGCTGACCATCGTGAGCCTGCGTCTCGTCCTGCGTTGCCTGTTTGTGCTGCTCGCACTAGTAGTCGTGCTCCGCGTCCGCGTCCTCTTGCGATCTCGGGCACACACTAGATGGCACTGCGTCCTTCCACTACTCCTTTGCGTGTCCCATTGCCGTCTCCTCCAGAGTCCTCTCCTCCTATCCTTGCTGACCCGGAGTCTGACTCTCTTTGTGCTGCCAGTCCTACTGTCACACATCTCCTGGCTGCTATTGTCACTGACCCTTCCTTTGAGTCCACTGCTGCATCTGCCTTAGTTGCTGAGCTTGTCGACTTTGCTGCTCGCTCTCGTCTAGACTACGCTGCTAGTCTTGTTGCTAAGTCTGAGTCTGTCTGTCTTGCGTCCGTCAGAGGTGAGTGTACTCTTATCACAGACGTCCTTGAGGACAGGAAGGAGGAGTTCCAGTGCTTTGCTACTACTTTGCCTCATCTCTTGTCCATGCTGATTGCCTCTGAGGGAGACCCGGATGCACCAGACATCCCGACTCCTCGATCGTACGCTGAGGCGATAGAGGGTCCCTACTCCTCACAGTGGCAGTCAGCCATGAACGCAGAGATGGCTTCCTGGAAGTCCACAGGCACCTATGTCGACGAGGTTCCCCCAGCTGGAGCGAACATCGTCAGTGGCATGTGGATTTTCAGGGTGAAGCGGCTGCCGGGTTCTCCGCCTGTCTTCAAGGCGCGTTACGTGGCTTGAGGCTTCAGAGAGCGGTAGGGAGATGACTACTTTCAGAGCTTCTCTCCCACCCTCAAGATGACCACTCTTCGGGTGCTGCTGCACATAGCCGCTCAGCGTGACTACGAGCTTCACTCTCTTGACTTCAGCACAGCTTTCCTTTAGGGCAGCCTGCACGAGGAGATCTGGATGCCCCGCCACTTGGCTTCACTGGGTCGTTTCCCCCTGGTACCCAGTGGAACCTCCGGCGGCCAGTCTACGGTCTCCGCCAGGCGCCCCGTGAGTGGCACGACACACTGAGGACTACACTTGCGGCTCTTGGGTTTGCTCCTTCTACTGCCGACCCGCCGCTGTTTCTGCGCACCGACACCTCTTTGCTGCTGTTCTACATCCTTGTGTACGTCGACGACTTGGTCTTTGCCACTGGTGACACTCCTAGACTCGCCCACGTGAAGTCCGAGCTACAGAAGAGACACACGTGCACAGACCTGGGTGAACTGCGCAGCTACCTTGGCTTGCAGATCACCCGGGACAGAACACAGCGCACCATTACCCTGACTCAGTCACACATGGTGCAGCAGGTCTTTCAGTGCTTCGACTTCACGTACTCCTATCAGGCCACTCCTCTGTCTACTCGCCACTCACTCTCAGCTCTGCCTTTGGATGAGTCCGTAGAGCCGAGTTGCCCGTACCCAGAGCTTGTTGGTTGCCTCATGTACCTGATGACCTGCACACGACCTGACCTTGCATATCCTCTTAGCATCTTGGCACACTATGTTGCTCCTAGGAGACACGGACCAGAGCACATGGCTGCAGCGAAGAGGGTGTTGCGCTACTTGTGCAGTACGTCGGGCATCGGGCTAGTGCTTGGAGGGTGACATCCAGTGGTCCTCACAGGTCACGCAGACGCTTCTTGGGCTGACGACAAGGCTACGCAGCGGTCGTCACAGGGTTACACCTACACCCTTGGCTCCGGCTCTGTTTCGTGGCGGTTCACCCGCTCGTCTTCTGTTCTCGGCTCCAGCTGTCAGGCTGAGATCTACGCAGGGGCCATGGCTGCACAGGAGCTACGCTGGCTCACCTACCTATTGACTGACCTAGGAGTGCCGCCTCGTTCTCCTCCAGTTCTGTATTTAGACAACAAGGCCATGCTGGCCTTGAGTTGGGAGCACAGACTGGAGCACAGAACGAAGCACATTGCTCTTCGCTACTTCCTTGCTCGTGAGCTGCAGCAGCGTGGTTAGCTGCGCCTTGCTTACGTGGCCTCTCAGGCCAACACTGCTGATAACTTTACCAAGGTACTTGCGCCTTGTGATCATCAGCGCATCTGTATGATGCTAGGTCTTGTGCTTACTTGGCCACACTTGCTTACTTCTTGACCTTGCTTGTACTGTGATCTTTCTATACCTGCACTTGCTTGTTTACCTTTATATATGATCTTACATGTGAACTGGCCTTGTTGCCTTGAACTTGTGCTCGGAATGTGTGGTGATGTTGTGATCCACCCAGAGCTTGCTTTGTTTTGCTTGACTGGTCTTGTGACCTCTTGAGCTCCCCCACTTTGCCTATGGGGGTGTGTCAAACTCACATGCTATAGTCAGTGTAGGCGGTAGTGGGGTAGACAATATGGGGTACAACACTGTTAGGTTTTCCTACTTGTACCCACTTGCTTGCTAGTTCATTCATTTCTCAATTCTCACAGCTTCTCATCCTTGAATCCTATCGTGGACACTTGACCAATGCGATCAGACAGAAGTACTCTGAGCTCGGCATCGTCCCCACCGTGATCCTTGCCGGCTGCGCGTCTGAGGTGCAGCCACTCGACGTGTCTGTAAACCGCTCGTTCAAGGCCTCCGTGCGACAACAGTACCAGTCATGGTTCGAAAGCGAGGGCACCAAAACCCGCACTGCCAAAGGTACGTGTCACGAGGGCGTATGTGTTGCGTTGGCCATGTGTCGTTGGGTTTATTTGTTGTGCTAACCATGAATGCCCTGTTTGCGCGCAGGCAACCTCAAGAAGCCCCCG